GGTCTTCAGGCGATCGTACTAACACTCGTACGTCAAATGGAAATCCTTCCCCCTTCTCTCGCGTCATGCCTCTAATCGCGTTCAAGTCTCACTGAATCATCCACCGGCTGAATCTCTTGTTCCTCTTCGATGCCCTTTCAAACTAGTCACATTTTTTATGCGTACTCTGATCCATATAGGACAGGAGGCATGTTTACCTAGTACCCTCGAGACCCTAGCCATCGATGTGTGTTGTGCCCAAAAAACTCACATTCAAGACTTCAGCTCCACCATCTGATTGGTATCCCCATCAAACCCATCCTTGAAGTTTCACTTACGCCTTTCTGGGGACCCTTAGGTTGCGGTTTCCGGTTCGGCTGACATCGGTGTGACTCTCAGTGAAAGAGCTGAACCTGCGCTCCTATATTGGATCCCAGTTGACAACAGGTTGTGTGCTGTGAAACTCAGAGGTTCGTGAAAAGTCAGCAGCCGTTGCCCAGATAGACGAAACTTGTTTGTCGTGTCGGTGTACGCCCCAGCGGACCGCAGCCCAGATACAGTCAGAGATGAATTTTACCGTAATCTGCACGACCTCTTGCGTGAAGCGAACCAGTTTGATATCATGATATATGATTGCTAGAGTAGGTCGGCTAACTTTGAGTGAGGCGCATCTGGACTAAATGCCTGTCACTCGGACAACAGCTAGCGGCTGTCTGACACCAGACCGTGTACCAAGCAAATCAGAATACAATAATCTTTATAAAAAAGAAAAACGTTCCATGATTTACCCAGGCTAAGGCAGGTGAATTTTCCTGAGGTATCCACAACCGAAGCTTGCGGCTAGCCAAAGCCTGACCCGGAAGTCAGCCGGGCGGTGTGTGAAAACCGCAATCCATTGGGGGACCGGTGTCCAGTTCATCAGATCGTACGTCCTTGACGGGGTCAAACTTCCAACATGCCGAATAAAATTCGATACCCAAATGAGCCGATGACCATTGCCAAAACCAAGGTGTGTATGTGTGTGGTTCGTACGCCTTCTCTTGGTTGGTTTGGAATCAGGGTCTTGGTCAAATACCCTAAATGAACTACTATTGGTCCACCAACCCGGTTATAGCCCCAGATGTCGGCTATTCGTCCTCGCTTATTAGGAAAGTACCCCTCACGATAAGGCAGTGAGCAGGGCTTCCTCAACAGAGGCTATTTGAGACGCTTGGTGGTATGGGAGCGTTTCGCGAGGTGCAAGGGGAAGTTGACCAGCAGCAACCCTAGACACCCACCCCCGACCATATTGAGGCTTTTTGAAGCGCCGAGGCATCGAGCAGAACGCAGCACGACTTGTAAGGAGACGCGAACTTAACGTAAGCCTACGCAGAGACCGCGAAATTTGGTGATCCCAACGTGCTGCCACCATGGTGACTTCCTGTAAGTTGTTCCATCTCCTTCGAGTCTCCGGTAGGAAAGCTTTGGGTGTGAACGAAACGATTTATAGAGCTAACGTTTCGCTTATTCACAATCAACAGCGACACCTTCCACGCTGGGTGGAGCTCTTCGGAGCACAGTTTAGTTGGCCATTGCCGTTTCTGACACATGTTCCGGCACACGTCCCATGGTTTGTCTTAACAGAACAACCTTCCTAGGCTCAAATCTGTAAGGCGATCTAAGCCCTAGGACCTCACAAATCACCGGGCTCTGACGGCCTTCTTCTAGCTCTATTTAAAGGTGGTAAAATAAAGCTTGTTAGAGAACTACGAGCTCTGTTCTCTAAAGTTTGGCACACTGAGCAGGTCGACTGCTGGTGTGTGGGTGATGAATCGATTGTTGTCCCCATCTTTGAAAAGGGTCTGCACAGTGTTTGCGCCAACCACAGGAGTGTAATCCCCATTCCGATTTCGTGAATGTTGGTAGCGTCCGTTATTCATCGTCGATTGTACAAAATGCGTGATTAGTAGACTGGGTTTCGCACCTGTGTTGGATGTATCGATCAAATCTTCGCTCTCCGTCAGTTGCTAAAGCACCTTGTTAATTACCACAGAACAGCGATCATTGAGTTCTTAGACATCCGTGCGGCCTTCAACTCCGTCGAGAGGACCGCATCTTTGAGCTGTCTGTTGAGGAATGGAGTACCCTAGAAGTGTAACACAATAGTTGTATCGTCATACCTCAGGTTGGGTTGAGGCCCATGACGAGTTTTCGCGACCCTTTGTGGTCCCCAGTGGAGTTTGTCAAGACTGTCTTATATCTCCATTACTCCTTAACTTTGCCACAGAGGATGTTTTTACTGAATGCTTTGATTAGTCCAGCAAACTTTGGAGTCAAACTTCTCTCAGAGAACAGAGTTTCGGACTTAAAATATGCATCACCTTACTGAGGGACAATACACACACAGCCCAACATTCTTTAAACCTTTTGGCGATAGATTATCCAGATATGGTATATGCTGTGCACCATCACAGCACAAAGTACTTGTGATGGATTGGCAGGAGTTAATGCCTGCACACACCCTCTGTGGTGATCAGCTGGAAGCAGCTGGTCTTGAAATTGGGGAATAGATCACATCAGGAATAGGAAAAGTTAGAGCAACTGTTACGAAACTGCGACACCTGTAGCACTGCCATGATATCCCACTATCCCGTGATGGAAGGGATTAAGACATGTGGCTCAGAATAGATGTCAGTAGCGCGATTGCTGTGAAGTTTGTTTTTAGAAATCGATAGAAAAACTTCAAAAATTTTGCACGGTAAAACTAGCAAATTTTTTTTCCTTCATCCATTCTCTGTTCCATTATTTCCGATATTCTTTTCATCAGTCTGTCCCCCATACTACAGCTTACCATTGTTGCGTCGGCACCATGCTTGTCCTCAAGCCAGTGTGAAATCCTTAATAGGTGTATGATAATCATCGATCACGTCCAAATCACCAGTGATCATTGTATGCAACTATCTGTTTTGGCAATGACTAATGCTCTGCATCTAACTTCGATTTAATTTCTGACGGGTCACACAACCACTACTTTTGCACTGCTAAGGAGTATGAATATTCGATCTTGCCGTGTTTGTGGATAACTGATAAACTTCCTGCCGTATCATTTCAGTGAAGGTGTATACACAGGTTCTCTCGTTGATTTCAGCCTCTTTTTGTTGGGGTTAGACGCTGCGCTGAACTGAAGCATCCTACTCCGCTCTTCTTGTCCTCGACCTTGTTCAACTTCAAGTCATCCGGCTGATCGACGAACCATCTTTAACTCCCAACCTGCTGTCACTTTCCTATTGTCAGGCAGTTGCTTTGGTATCGCTTCTCTATGTTTACCATTTTGGTCTCTGCTCTTCTGAACTGGGTGGTGGTGGCGCAGTGGTTTAATCGCTGCCATAGGCGTGCTTTAGACCCCATGGTCCGAAGTTCGAGCCCCGCCACCGCCACCCGACTTTGGTGGTAGGCAGCTCTGCTGTCCGGTGCAATACCACGCCCAACATTTCGGGGCCTTATGTGGTTTACCACTCCAAGTATCGGGGCTTAGGTTACCGGTTTCCATCACTGAACAGTAGGTCCTCGCGATTATGCGGTTCCACCCCGTCTGCTGTTCATCACACGAAAGTGTGTAATAAAAAAATTAAAAAAAAACGTTTCTCCTCTGATTGACTTTTTGTCGTTCACCTCGTTCTAAGGCGGGTATCAGGTTTCTGTTCCCGGCTGTCGAACCTTTATCTTTCATTCATTTTCCCCCAGGACTGTGAAATAGTGGACCACTCTGCTCATCTCCGTTTTTCCAAGCGTTTATCATCTCACCATTTTCCAAATCAGGTGTGGCGAATTGATTCACACTAGAATGTTTCTCCATATACCTTCCCCTTTACATTATATCTTTAATTGTGGGGTTTACCCTTTTTGTTATACAATAAAAAGACATGCAGGTCTACAGATGATGTTGAGACGAGGCATGCGGAAGTGCACAAAGCAGTTGGATAGTGTAAATATCGCACCTACATGGTGTGAGTTTGGCGGCGATCAGGGAATATTACTTCACTCTATTTTGCTCTATCGAACTTTTAACTACTCAGCGGTTTTCGTCATGCTCCTCTTTTTTTTCATACCCATTTCTGTTCTTTGATATTGAATGTCCTTAGAAAATATGTGAAAACAACTGGAACTCAGCTATACGTTGTATTTTATTTTCAGCCGGTGCATATAGTTATTTGTTACGTCCCTGTGACTCCCTACCTGGATTATACACTTTACTGCTCTACGATGGTGTACGTGTACGAAAATACCGCTTGGAGTTGATTGTGCAGTCCGAACCCATTCCTCCTCCTCTTCATTCGACCGAACCAGTTGCTTCTGATGTCCTGTCCCCACGTCGAGCAAGTGAACCCAGTTCACCCACTGTCTGCTGCTCAGAAGCACCGTCTACCAACGGCGATGGTGTTGTCTGTTCCGAAAATCGCAGTTCTTCCGGGGCTTCCACCCCACCATCGATGCAACCACCTCCGTCATCTATCGGTACGCAGTCCACCAACGCAAGCACTGTGGTTGTACAAAATGATAACACAGGCCCTTGTCCTCGCCGGTATCGGACCACAACCAAAGTCATGTACAATGGATCTTTGTATGACAGCGTCGAACAAGTGGTCGCCGATATTGAGGCGCATCCTGGTCCATGGCGGATGGATTCCACGGCAACCGATCA